AGCTTGAATATTGGATGGATATTCTATTTGTAAGAATCGTTAATCATAAATTTTTAAATTAGATTGTTTTTCTCCATTTTTATATTCTTGCCCCCATTTTCTCCCTTTACAGTTATCTGCTGCCGACCACAGGGAAGGTAACCATCCGGCAGTACCTACCTCCAATCTAAGGCTACTCTTTATCCTTTAAAAGAAGAATGGGATTAACTGTAACATTATGAAAAGGCAAACATGTTTTCAGACATGTTTCGGGCCCACGACTCACAGCTTACGAGTCGAGTGCTCTAACCACCAGGCCCATATAAGGAAGACGAATGTAAATAAAAGGTTGCGTTTCTGGTTTGTTCATGTCCCATGTTTCTTCTGTTATCAATTTTTATTGTTGTAAAATTGTTCAGTTTACTATAACCAATATGCAGTGTTAATTATAATAAAAGTAGTTATCTGATGTATACGATATTAAAATGTAATTTATATCATTAAGTACTGTAGTACTTAATAGTAGGGATTCTGATGAAACAAAATGGCGGCCATAAAAATCTCCCGTTTAAAACCATCTTTAAAATGCCTGAATATTACCAATGACTATTTCACAGTATTGGTTGAGCACAACTAAAGCTTATTGCATTTATAAAGCCGCCTAAATCGCTATATATACGTGTTTATGGAGTGAATCAAAATTTCACTATTTCAATGGATTTTTATCTAAGTAAGTAAGTAAGTGACTTTTCCAGACAAGCGTACAGAAAAAATGACGAATCTTATCGATCTAATTCTTTCACAGAACTCTTCAATCTGGGGTCCCAGTGATGCGTTTCTTGTACTGAAAAGGACATTAGTATATATATATATATAGTTAGTCTTGAGGGTAAGTTAGTAGAGATTCTGATGAACAATAAAATCGAATCGAATATACTCGCGCCCCACGCTTGGTATTTTTGGCGCACAAAAATATAGCTAAGAAAAGCGAAACAAAAAATATAATAAAGATTCAATTTTATAAAGACAAGTAGGGATCGATATGTTCGTAACCTAGCTAGCTATAGTAACATAGAAAGTTCTAATAGTAGAAAAATTATTAAAACAAGAAAGTCAAAACTACAAAAACTGAGTTACTTAAAATTTAAAAAAGGATATCCCTACTTTGGCAAATCACCGCTATTATGTTAATCTTGTTTCAATCATTTTTGTAGCACTAGAACTTTCTCTATTACTATAACTTTGCAATGTTACGTATATATCGATCCCTACTTGTCTTTTATAAAATGTAAGAATTTTTTTATTATACTTGTTGTTATTACTATTTAACGTTTTTATGAATTATTCTAGTGTGTTTCATACACATTATCACCTAGGAATAAACGACTTTATAACCTATATTTTATTGGTATTGATTGCTATTATTTGATTTGTTACTATTTTTTGCATCATTAAAGCTTCTTCAGGATAATTCCACTAAAAGCTCTGTAGGATGTCACAACTGGCCCGGCATGGCCAGGTGGTTAGGGCGCTCGACTTGCAATCTGAGAGTTGCAGGTTCGAATTCCCATCCCACCAAACATGCTCGCTCTTTCAGCCACGGAGG